TCATCAATGGGTTAATAGCAAGAACATTGGGCATTTACCCATAATTACCACTAGATGTCGCCACAGACCTGGCTAAAATAGCAACATCGTTTTCCCAAGTGTAGGAGCCCTAAGTCTGGAGTGAAAAGAACTTGAGAGTTGGAGAAACTGAGGACAAAACCAGCAGGGACCACTTAAAGTCATGAAAGCAGGTCCAGAATTTGAATCCACTGGTCCTGCCCCCTTAAGGATGGCAAACTTCCCAGCAAGCTTCTCACAGCTCATCCCGCCCCTGAGACGGCCAGTGTTATCCACTTGAATAGGAAACCATAAGTTTTAATTAAGTGACAGGCAGCGTTGTGTTTTACAACATGAACTCATTGAATTGGCAGAAACAACCATAAGGGGTAGATTCTGATGTTTTCCTCATTTTATGGGTGGGAAGTGTGAGGCACAGGGAGGGTAAGTAAGTTGCTCAAGGACACACAGCTAGAAAATGCAGCAGGCATTCTGCTGCAGTCTGGGCCATCCCAGAGCTTACTTCTTTGGTCAACTTGGAGATAATGTGTCTTATTATATTTTTAATCTTTTGATACCACATAGCTTCTTTGATGATTTAACAAATCACTGTTGTTCCATTACAGGTTACCTTTCCTGAACTGAAGTCTTGATAAAGAAATAACATTGATTTTGGAAAAAAGTAATTGTTAAATGGAGTGATGATGCAGGAAAGTAGTTACTGTGGTTTCACAAAACATTACTCTATAAAACGTAACTTTTGCTGATTCTTTATCATTTAACCCCCAAGTTTGCCATCCAGTGCCAACAGAATTCCACGGACCTGGCTCCCAGGTCAATCAGAGGCTTGGAGGATGAATGAGAAAGGAAGGAGCTTGGCCATGTCTTTCATCCATTTACTCAGTCCTTCACCTGCTCATTCAGTCCACAGTGCCTGCCTCCTCCTCCCTGTCAGGCTCTGTACTAGGCTCTGAAGCTAAGAAATGACCCCATGCCCCCATTCACCCTGCCCTCAAAGAGCTCAGAGTCTAGTGAGAGTTGACAGACAGGAAGTACGCACACAATGGCACTGCTTTATTGCCCACCTCCCTAGACTCTACAGATGGCATTTGTCTATTCCCTCCTCTATCCTCCATTCCTAACACGGTGCCCAGCACATGTTAGGTACTCGATAAATGTTTGCTGAATGAATATAGTCTTCATCGAGAAGGCAGCATTTGATCTGGGGCTTTGACAATTAGAGAGCTCTTGAAAGGTGAAAACAGAGGAGAGGGTACACTCTCTCCAACAGGAAGAATGACAGGGTCATTTTTAGGAAGATCATCTTGGCTTCTGTGTGGAGGACAATGGCTTTGGGTGAGATGAGGGGCAGGTAGACAAGTGAGAGGCTGGTTCAGGGCCCAGGGGTGAGTGGTTGGTGGTCTGGACCAAGGCTTTGGAGGCAGAGACAGAAGAGCCCTGATGGAAGACCCAGAAAGGATGGAAAAGGCTTGGGGAGTGTGAAGCAGGACAGAACAGGGGTCATGGGTGACTACAGGTGTCTGGTGGAGTAGGGCCAGTTGGAGAGGCGTTGGTAGGAAGTTGAGGTCTGCTGAGAAAATTTTAGGGCAGAAAGACCTTCCATGTCCCTCAAGTCAGAGCCCCGTTTTGGTGTCATTTCTACCACCTGGAACTGAGCCTGGAGGGTAGAGCAGTCTTGTGGGTACAGAGGAAGCAAGACAGCTGGGCAGGGGCAAGCTACATGTGAGAAGTCCTGCCTCACCTTCTCCAGTTTTCTGGAGTCCCAAGGGGAAGTGGGTTGGCCACAGAGGCCTTGTCAATGCCCAGACCTAGCATGAAGGTTACTGGAAAGCAGAGTCTCTCTAAAAAGTACCTTCTGATTCTTGCTCAGCAGCACAAATCACATAGTATGGATTGGCAGGACAACTTTCACTATTATAGTTTAATTTTCTTGGGGTATAACATACATAAGGTACATAAAGTCCTCTAATCTTAAGGTATAGCCTGATGAATTTGTGCCAATGTAATCACCAAGCAGATTAAGATATAGATCTCTTCCCGTCTCCCAGAAAATTCCCTCTCACTCCTTTCCCATCTCTAGTCCCCTCCTACCAATCCAGGTAACTACTATTCTGATTTCTATCACCACAGATCAGTGTTGCCTCCCCTTGAACTTTATATATGAATGGAATCATACAACATGTACAAATTTTTTTCTGGATTCTTTTAGTCCACATACTGTATGTGACATTAATTCATTTATCACGTGTGTCAATATATTGTACTTTTGTATCTATAACATAGTATTCTGTTGGATGAACGTGCCATAATTTATCAGTTCTCCCGGGATTTTTTTTTTAAGATTTTTATTTATTTATTTACTTGAGAGAGAGGGAAAGCACAGAGGGAGAGGGGGAACCAAACCCTCTGAGCAGGGAGCCCAATGTGGGGCTCGATCCCAGGACCTCGGGATCATGACCTGAGCCAAAGGCAGAAACTTAACTGACTGAGCCCTCAGGCACCCCTATTAGTTCTCCTGTTAATGGACACTGAGCTATTTCCAGTTTAAGCAATAAACAAATCTGCTATGAAAATTCTTGCAAGAATCTTTCTTGTAGACATAGGCACTCATTTCTCTTGGAATGAATACCTAGGAGTTAAAATTCTAGATCACAGCTTAGGTGTATGTTCAGATTTAGTAGAAACTGCAGGTTTTCAGAAATGGCTGTACCAAGTCCCCCTCTCACCAGCTATATGTAAGAATTTCAATTGCTTCACGCCCTTGCCTCTACTACGAGACTCTTCTTTTCTTCCAGTGTTAGATATCGGGTATGTCTGGAATGGATACATCGATCTCCCAGCCCACAAGCAGCAAGACAGAGGCCACATCCAGCCTGTTTCTTAGCTGGGGGAGGAACAGACATCTTGATATAACAGTGACTCTAGGAACTGAGATGGCCATCTTATGACCATGAGCATGAAACCATCATAAGGACAGCAGAGCAGAGACGAAATCAACCTGGGAGATAAAATGTCTTTGATGACCCCGCTAAGCCACTCAATTAATCTGCCATTGGGTGGCAGCCTACTTATTTTTTAAGCCAGTTGATTTGGGGGTTTTTTGGGTTCTGTGGACTTACAACATAAAGGATACAGTCCGTAAGCCCCCCTTGTAACCCAACCAAATGGTACCACTTCTGTCCTCTACAGCAGTCAGCCCTACTAAGCACTTTCTCCTTCTTGAAACCTTCTCTCTGGGATCCCGTGCACACCTGGTCCTCCTCCTATCCCTCTGTTGTTTCTCAGCCTCCTTTCTTGGCTCCTCCTCCTCATCTGTGTTTTTGAAAAATCTACCTCCCCTCCCTTGGAATCTCATCCAGCACCATGATTTCATCCATCACCTGTGTGCCAATGCTACCCAGATATGAATCCCCGGCCCAGACCTCTCTTCTGAGCTTGTCTCATACAGAAATGCCTATTGAACCTCTCCACCTAGACTTTGCCCAAGCATTTCAAAAACTTGCCTTCTCAAGGCCAAACTCTTTATCTTCCCCCTCAACTGATCCCTCTTCAAGCTTCACCACTTTAGTGAAGGACTCGACTCCTTCATACTCAAGACAAAAACCTAGATGTTCTTGCCATTTCCTTAGCACACATCTACTCTTTAATCCTTTATTTCTCCACCTCTCCAAACCACCACCCTAAGTCATCATCACTTCATAGCTAGAAAGCTCCAAAAACCTTCTAACTGGTCCCCCCACATCTGCTCCCAACTGTCCTCCAAGCCATGCAACCAGGGTAGCCTTTTGTAAAACAAATTCGTTATCATTCCTCTGACAAAAATGGCTTATTACTCTCAAGATAAAATCCAAATTCATTTGGTAGTTCTACCTGCACTACTCCTTTCTCACCCCTTCCCCCTACCCTGCTCCTTCCCACCTCATCTGGGACAAATGGTTCTTTTGCCTATAACATTTACCCTTTCACTCTAGCCCTGCACAACTCCTAACCGTCCTTAGTTTCTCAGTCTAAATGCCAGCTTCTCAGGGCGTATCCACCCTCACCCCTTACCCCATGTTAGGACCTCATTCATTTTTCAGAATCCTCCTTACGTTCCCCCACTACACTTCCCACGCCGCATAATTGATTGTTGATTTGATTAATATTATTAACACAGTCATTGTTTGCTGACTGTCGTCCCCCCCGCCCCCTGCCCGCCCCTACACTTGCCCACACTGCGCTGGCAGAGCCTTGAGCTTAGGGCAGGGTCTACAGCTCTCCACTCCACCTTCCACTCAACCCTCTTGCCTTTGGCACTGCACTTACAGATAGTAAGCGCTCAAGGAATGCGCTTAATTAGCTAATAAACGAATCCTGACTCATTCAACCTTCATAACAACTCTGTGAGGTAAGCATTTCATCGCACCTTAGGGAAGCTGAGATTCGCGGTGGGCAAGATGCCCAACGTGTATGGGGAAAGGGGAGGAGTCAGGTCCTGACCCAAGTCAGGTCCTAATTTCTGAACCCGATTTTTCCGCTCCTGAACTTTGGCACCTTGGTGAAAGGGCCAGGGATAGGGCGGACTTTGAGCCACGAGAAGGTTTGACCCGGATGACACGGGTGACCTACGCAGGGAAGCAGAACCCAGAGCTCACTTACGAAGACTAAGGTACGCCCCCTCGGGCTCTCACTGAGTAAGGATCACAATCTGCTGCATATGCATGAGGGGACCATGAGGCCCTGATTCGGGACTACCCGAGATGCGCCTGATTAAAAATTCTTTGGACTTGAAGACGTGAGAGCTCTCTCAGTTCCTCACACGTACATATAAAGTTTTCAAAGGCTCATCTGAGGTGAATCTTGCGGGGATATCGGGCGAAGATGACCGCAATTTGGGGTTTATGATCAGGCGTCTTATGGAGGCAGCCCAATGCCAGGAGGGGTCCTCGGACTGCTCCACTCGAAGACGAAGGGGGCGTCTCCCCGGCTTCCTGCGGCGTCGGTGGCGAGCTGAGGTGGAGGCAGGCTGCGGCAGCGAAGGCGACAGTGGCGGCGGCGCCATGGCAGGGCTCGCAGGTACCGTGGCGTCGGCCCCCTGGGGACGGGATGAGAGGCCCTCAGTGCGGCGGCGCCGCCATGTTGTCCCTTCGGGGTCACCTTAAGGCGTCTCCCCGTCCTTTTCTGGGGTTTTTCTTCCGCGCACCCAGGGGGCCACCCCTGTCCGGTGTCACGTGATTGCCCTGTGTGGCCCTAACCTGGGCCTCGGGGGTCCTTTCCCGGCCCGAGGCCGAGTGACCGGACCCCTGGGTCTCGGTCTGGCCTCCAAGGTCAGTGCTCGCCTGTCTATTCCCGGGACGGGACAGGCAGAGTCGGGGAGCGCGGGGCTGAGGGGCGCGACTACCGCCTCTTCGTCCCAGGGGCCCATGGCAGGGGGCCCAGCTTCTGAGAGTCCTGTTATTCTGTCCCCGGCCCTTCAGTCTTATTTTTTTTTTTTTAATCAAAAGGGGCGTGGGTGAGAGGGGCGTAAAGGGGTCTCCCGCCCCAGGCACCCGCTTTGGTGTCTAAGGTGATGGGGTAATAGGTTGGCGCTCGGCTTTGAGTCGCGGGTGCTTCTTACCTATCTCATAACTTTACATCAAGTCTGGTCTCCATTTCCTTTCCTCCAGTATATATGGGGAGTGGCCCTCAAGGGCAGCTGAAGGAACGGAATGCCTGGCACACCAATGGCCTGAAAGAATGGGGGATGGGGAACAGTTCTTTTTGCTTACCCCTTCCAGACTTTCTGTAAATACCTTCCAGGCCTCCGTGTCCCTTTTCCACGCTAAATGTTGGGCAACGCTAAATGTTGGGACAGACTGGGATCTGTCCTAGGGAGCGAATGATCTTTCTGTTCATAGGTTCGGATCGTGTTTTATCCCTTTCAGGGAGCTGGTGTGTTGGGAACAGCTTCTGTTTGCCCTGCCTGACATGGTCCAGCCATCCCCTCAGCCTTCTGGACAGCAACACCAAAGCCAGGACAAAAAAAAAAAAAAGTTCCAGCTTAAGTGCTAATGCCAAGTGTTAGATCTTGTTTATTTGTTTATTTTAAATCAGAGACTAATTAATGTCAAGCAAATCTTTAAAAGATTCAGAGCCCTGGTCAGTTTCCAGTGACCAGATCAATTCCGGATCTGTAATTGGTCTTGTTAGAATCGCTGCCAAAAAACAGTTTAACCTTTTATCTGTAATATGTTGTTTCAAAGAGGAATCTGGAAGTCTGGGTTTGGCTGTCTTTTTTGTTGTTCTCTTTGAAACATATGCATTCCATTCCAAGCCTGTCACTGTGTGCTATACCAAGGACCATGTGTTGCCTGCCTCTTTGACTTCCTGTTCTGGGAATGCTCAGGAATCTGGACCCTGCTGGGGTGTGGGCCCTGTGGGAGGGAGAGGGGGTGGAGGGGAGGGTGAACAGTATCTTTCCCAGAGAAGATGGTGACATGACTCTGGGGCATACTGAGGAAGTCATAGGTCACCAGGGAAAAAGAGACTGTTGGTTAGACTAATGTTTTGTGTGTTGTGTGCGCGTTTGTGCACGTTTAAATCTCTGGGGGTAAAACTAACTGCAAATTCAGAATCTCACTTTAGGGTGCTGGCTCCTGAGTAGATACAAGTTTGAAAATAGATCCGAAGCAAATGGCTCACAGCAAACCTGCTCCCTCATCCAGCGCAGGTGTAATAAGCTGTTGCTGTCCCACAGCTAAAGCTTAAGAAGCTTGTCCCCCACCCCTTCCTTCAGTCACAATCCAAATACTCCAGAGGTAGAGATAGCGGTGTCACATAGACCCCACAACTCTGAAAGTCATGGTACCTAACCCTACCCCCCCCCCCCCACCCAGCTTACCTGGTTAGGCTGATGCTGACATCCTTCTTGGTGTATTCATGCCAAGAGTCTTGCCTTTCCAAAGCCACTCCAATCCCCTCACAAATCATCTGCTGTATCCTTGGTCTTACAGGGACAGAGCCTTTTAGGGGTGGTGGAGATAGTTTAGGGGAAAGGGAGGCCTGTGGACTAAGGGCCCTGCAATGAAACTGTAGTCGTTTTTAACTTCTACCATTGCTCTCTATCAGAATAAAATGCTTTATTGGTACTGCTTCTGGAAAAATTTTTATAAACAAGGTGTGTTTGGACCAGACTTCTAGGCACCACACAGGAACAGAAAGTGGACACATCCCTTCTGCCTTCTCCAGTGGGTTGTTTGCTGCTAGAACATGAGGGTTTGGGGATGAAGGATGAAAGTGGGAGAGTGGACATTGCACACTCAAGCCCACCCACGTGGATACAGGCCACCAGGACAGCGCTTGCCTGGAAGTCTGTCATCTCACCATGCCACTCTGATGGATGGATGGAGAAGCCCCACAAGTGAGCTTTGCCAAGATTATCTGGAAAGCCTGGGGCTGCCAGCAGCTTCCAGCCTTTTAAAGGGGGTACAGGAAGCTGAGGGGAGCATGCTCTGTCCAGAACAGCCAGACCCTTCCATGCCTGTCTGAATCCAGCTACCTTCTAACTGGGCTGAGGTTAGAGCATGTGGGACAGTGAGGCTGTGGGCATACCTCTTGAAGGCTCTGAGGTGAGGCAGTCTTCATTGAGAACACATGTTAAAATGTTCACGGTTCTGTGGGCTTAGTGTGGAAAACCACAGCAACTCCCAGTCTTGAGGCCTGCCAAGATACAACTTCAGAAGGGAGGTGTGGGCACTGCCTGCTGATGAGTCAGCCTGGGGCAAGAGGAGATCCACCCCACCTGCAGGCTATAGTAGAAGCTGGAGTCACCCAGCCTAAGGGAGATGGGAGTCTCTGATTACACAACCCCACCCCAGTCCCCATGGGTCCTGATTGCCACTTTGAAGGCAGAATGTTGCTAGTATCTTGGAATTTACCTGGATCTTAGCAGCCTTGGTACAAAGGGGAGCTGATGGTGAGGGGTAGGATGCGACCTGGCCATTTTCCCTGGGCTGATTGATGACAAAGGCCAGTACCAAAACTGAGGTCTGTACCCTCTACTCCCATAATTCTCTGATGCTGTACTAAAGTTACAGGTGCCTCTAGAGGTGCTGGCAGTGGGGTTTAGAAAGGGGTTGCTTAGAGGAGGGGAGATATTATCAGGCTCAAGGGGCGAGGTGCTTAGTGCTCCAGAAGTGTTTGTGACAACTGTGACTAAGGGATTTGAGGAAGTGGCAGAGAGGGAGATTTACGGCTCCAAATCCTCCCTTGGTGTTGACCCAGGAACAGGTGTGTAGTGACAGGGATACATTAAGCCAGAGACGAGGCTGAACAGGCTGCAGGGCCATTTGGTGAGGCAGTCAGCTGACCATGTGAAAGGAGTCCTGACTCACTCAAGAGTGAAAGAGGAGAGAAAGAAGCCAGGAGCCAAACAGCCAGGCCACCAGCTCATCTACCCTGACATGGCAGGAGAGAGCCCAGGGCCAGGGACCTGGTAAGTCCCAAGAATATGGAAGCTAATGCCAGAAGTGGAGAACCCACTAATGGGGAGAGCTAGAGAGTTTCCTGGGTGTCGGTTAGGAGACCTGGAGAGTAGCACAGCAGAGTAGAATGTCCTTATAGTGGTCCCCGTAGGGGTTATAGGGCCTGGAGGGATAAGGTGGGCCAAGGAGGCACCACGCCACACCTCTTATCTGATACTCATTGTCCAAGCCAGTGCCCACCCTGCCCAGAGCTCACTTCCTTCAGGTTCCTGGATGGAGATAATACTTTATGTTCTGAAGTCCTGATCACCCCCTTGGTCTCTAGCACCCCATCTTGAGGGATAGTCCCACCTTTCTTGCCTCCCATCTTTCCCAGTAGTTACCTGCCAAGGCCCATTATTCCAGGACAAGTGAATGCATCCACCCCTCTGGGGAAGGTAAGTGGTCCTTTATTCTGAGACCACAATTAAGAATGTAGACCTTTCTCTTTGGTGGTGGTGGTGGGGTGTTCCTTTATCTCAGAACAGTATTAAGTGAAGATGGAGCTGGGTTTGCGAGGGTCCCAGCTTATTTCCCCTTTGTTGCCTCCCCCACCCTCCCTCTCTCAAGTAGTGTGCCACCCCCCCCCCCACAGTGGTACATCAGTTCAGTCTTAAGGAGTATGTGTTGAAGCCGTAAAAGAAGTCACAAGAGACAACTTTTTGGTGCACTTCCACCACCCCGCAGGGTCCTGGGACACTGTGCGAGATGGGGGAGGTACTGGTTTTTTATTTTTTTGTAGAGGTGGTCCCTGTCCTCCAGGAGCTTACAATCTAGCTGGGGAGACACAACTAATGCACACTTATACAATCAGTACAGTTAGCGATTACCACAATATTGACCACAACTGCGTGAGACCAGGGAAAGCAAGATCAGTGAGGGGCTGGGGGCTCAGAGAAGGTGTTTTAGTAAAGATGGGATTCATTTACTGGTTGATAGGTCCAAATTGAGTGACACATTTCTTTTGGGGTGGGCTTAGGAGGCAGTGAGTGGGGGAAGGGAATTGAGGGAGCAAAGGCAGCAAGGCTGGAATGCACATGTTGTAGGCAAGGGACATTGAGAGGGCCCCCCTCCATTTCTTAATCCTCCTTCCTCATTCTTGCCCTCAAGTCCCGCCACACAGGCACGCAGCTGGTGCCTTGTCTGCTGCATCGAGATTCAGGGCTGGCTTCGGCTGGTGATGCTGGAATGTCCATTCTGCTGGCTGGTGTGGTTGTCTGGATCTCTGTGGTGGGCCTGTTAGCACGGCCATGGCTGCGGGGCTGGGATGGCGCTGTCCCGACTTGGTCCAGATCAGAATGCATTGCCTGTGCCCAGATCTTGGGGGTAAGCTCCCCCCCACCCCCCTCCTCCCTCTACCCCACCCAGCAGTCAGAGGGGTGCAAAGGGGCTTGGAAGGGATCTGGTATTGTCGTCATTGTCGGTGCTGCTTCTCCAGGAGCCTACCGGCCCCTCACTGACCTTGGCAAATGCTCCTCTGGCGAGAGAGCACAGGGGACCCCCCATTCCTGCGCGGCACTGGCTCCCATGCTGGCCGAGAAGCACAGGAGCACCTGGTGACAAGGCCGCCCAGGGCTGGGGGCTGGGGCCTCAGTTGGGGGCTCGCTGCCGGCGCTCTCCCAGCACCTGCCGCCCGGTCCTCGACACCGTGTATGCCAGCTTCTGCAGGGAGTACCTGAACACCTGCAGCAAGAGACCCGGGATCTGCCCTTAGAGGCAGGCACCCGCAGCCCGTCTGCAGCGCTGCCGTGCCCGCCCCCACCCCACCCCCTGCCCCGCCCGCCCGCCCGTCGGACTTAGAGGCAGGCGCGGGCGCAGCTTGTCCACGAGTCAGGGCAGCTGGAGCTTTTCCAACTGTGCTGAAGGCTGCATGGCAGCAAGCTGATTGGACCCACAACTTAGGTATACCTCACTTCTCGCAATGGGCTGTGTCCCTGGAGGATTTCGAAAAGCGAATCCTACCCAGTAAATGCAGCATTCCAGGAACACCTTAAAGGAAATATGCGATTCCTTTGGCAAAGGATTCCCTTAGCAGGGAATTCTTCCTGCAAGGGGTGCTTTTAGGGTAAATGATTTTGTGGGCAACGTGCTTTCTTCTGATTTATTTTTACAAAGCACTTTGCCTCTGTTTGATTTTTTATTTTAATAAAGCGAATTGTCCGTTTTTGGAAGCGCTTTTTTTCTCTCCCATTTTTCCTGCAAAGAACCTTTTCTAATTGTTTGCTTCAAAGCGCTTTTTATCCGATTCATTTTTTTTCTGTTAGCTCCTTTGTCTGATTTTTTTTTCTGCAGTGCGCTTTTTATCTAATGCATTTATTTCTGCCAAGTGCTTTTGCCTGATTTATTTTTCCTGCAATGCGCATTTTCTCTAATTCATTTTTTCCCGCGAATTACTTTTCTCCAATTCGTTGTGGGTTTTTATGAAGAGCTTTTTTTTTTTTTTGGGCCTGAGAAGTGCCTTTTTCTAACTTATTTTTGGTTCCACCTTCGCAAGCGCTATATATATTTTTTTAAGAAATTTCCCCGCAATGCGCAATTTTTTAAGGCGGAAAATTTTGCTACGCGAGCGTAAAGTCTCTTCGCAAAACACAAGTGCCCCGCCTCCCTCCTGGGGTCGAGTCTGGGTGTAGCGGGTTTTTCTTACCGCGTTGGTCGCTAAGAGCCTCGGCGATCGTCAGCGGCTGGCGCCCGCCGCGCCCCAACTCTTTGTTCCCGGCCGGGCGCGGGCGCACTGGGAAGGGTCTGCGCGAGGAGGAGGGCGCAGGGAACGCGCGGGGGCACGCGGTGCCAACCGCGGCACTCTGGCAAGCAGGGATCGCGGCAATAAGGATAGGATGGGTCCGGGAGGCGGCAGTTGCGACGTGGGCCTGCCGGTTAAGGGGGCGCGCATCGGGACCCCTCTCCCACCTGGAACCTGGGCACACTTACCTGCAGCAGCACGCGGAAAATGTACCAGCCAATGATGAGCAGCTCAGCTGAGGCTGCCGCCACTGCCGCCATGGTTCCGAGAGTGGTCGGTGAGTGGTCGAGAGCAAGCGCTGTTCGCCAAGGTCCACCGATTTCTCGGAGTTCGCTGTTGGGCGCACTGCCGCAGCCGCGGTGGCCGCGCCTTAAGTATCCGCCCGCCACCCAAGTGCGCATGCGCGTCTGGGGTGGGTTCCATTGAGGAGGGGTGGCTGGGGGCGCTCCTCATTCGCCAGGAGAGGAAAAAATAATCCATTTGCTCTTTCCACACCGACCCCCGCCTCCTGAGTTCCATCTTAGCCCCTTTCCAGAAGATTCCGCTGTGCCCGCTTTTAGATTTTAGTGTAAAATGGAGAGGAACTGCAACTCTTGAATAGCGCAAAGGGCTGGAGTAGGGGATGCACGCCTTTTGGCACCGAACTCCTTCTCTGAGCGGTGGCCTGCAATTTCTATCCCAGTGTCCGTGACACACCAGTACCCCACCTTGGGCACGGGTGGAAAACTAGGAGAACCTAACTTGGGGATCATCTGCCCCACAGAGCGGAAAAAAAAAAAAAAAAAAAGAGGTGTCCCTTCCCAGAGCTTTGGCTTCAGAGGCCCGTGGTCGGTACTCATTCTGGTATTTGATGTGCTGTAAGCCCGTGTCCTTTGCTTCCCGAGAGTCCCTGAACACGGAACTTTCTCTGATTCTTTGCGTCCAGCTTCTTACGGTTACTACCATGGTGACTATTGAAAGGAATAGAGCCAGAGCACTGAGCTCTAGGCGCACAAGCAGTAGTCCCTGGGTCTACCCTGTGGGAGGGATGCGGGAGGGATTGGCGCCTTTGTGTGCGCGGAAGGGGTGGGATGAGCTTTCCGAAAAGTGGTGGGAAAATGCTCTGGGATCATTTCTGCCAGACAGGTCTTTTCAATCTCTCTCTTATGCTCCCCTCCCCCCCAGGCCCTGGTAGGACTTCACACAGCCAGCGAGGTTCTTTGTACCCGTTGTGCTGGGCAGCTGGAGGTCGGAATGGGGTTTTGCTACCGCCACCAGAGGGTTGTGGCCACCGCAGGTCCATTTCCAGGCACAGCGGGGAAGACCCAGACACGGGTTGCGAGCTCAGCCTCAACGCCCTGGGGGCCCGCCACTGGAGAGCGCCTCTCCAGCAAGCTACCTAGCACAGGGGCCAAATGGCATTTGCCCCTCTGTGGATAGAAAATTAATTTTGATTAAAAGCTCACAGAGGTCAGGTTCTATACAGTGCCAGCAGCAGATGGAAAGTGTAAGTGATCCAAGCGAGGTCAGTTTGGATGAAGTAGCATGGTGATTTTTTTTTCCCTACATTGACTTTCGAAGAAGTTGGCTGGTTTTGGCGAAATGATGCCAGGCTGCCGTCTTAAAATATTTGGTAGTGTTGCACCCCCACCCCCACCCCTGCCCTGCGGCCTCACAGGGCATGCAAGGATCCATTACCCGTGGGCTCCGGCTGGCAGTGAGGTGCTTTAACTCTCTCCCGAGCGCCTGCTGTGACAGACTAGATACAGAACCAAACCTTGTTCTTATTTTGTGGGGGCACAGCATGGAGCCCGTGGCCATCCGGTGGCAACCACAGGGCGGTATTGTGAGGTCTGGGGCCCTTGAGGACGGGCTGCAGCCCCAGGAGGCGATACATGATCTCTGCTGGGCAGGGCCCAGGCAAAGCCAGTCCACTGTGCCGGACCTGCCCGAAGAGCCCTCTGGCCCACCTCCCTGACAGGCCCGGGGGAGATACTCTAGGAGCTTCCTGAGATGGTGACGTGGAGCAGAGTAGACGTCCATGGGTGGGCAGGGAGGAAAGGGCATTCACATTTGCTGTTGTTAACCATGATCCATTTTCCCAAATAAGTCTACATTCTGTTCCTGTTTTTTTTTTGGTGTCTGTCTGTCTGTCTGTCTGTTTTTTGTCTGTTTGTTTGTTGTGTTGACTTTTCTCTTCAGGATCCCTGCTGCCTTGGTGATCCCGGGCTGACAGCCAGAGAGCACAGCGGCTCAGCTCCTGGAGAGTGAGGGTTGAAGAAAGCGGAGGGCAGCTGCCTGCGCCCGCTGGCTCCCATTAGGTCGGTTCCTGCAGCGGTGCCCGGTGGCCTTGGCGAAGGCCCTGCCCAGCAGAGATCATGTATTGCCTCCAGTGGCTGCTGCCCGTCCTCCTCATCCCCAAGCCCCTCAACCCCGCCCTGTGGTTCAGCCACTCCATGTTCATGGGCTTCTACCTGCTCAGCTTCCTCTTGGAGCGGAAGCCTTGCACGATCTGTGCCTTGGTTTTCCTGGCAGCCCTGTTCCTCATCTGCTATAGCTGCTGGGGAAACTGTTTCCTGTACCACTGTGCTGATTCCCCGCTTCCGGAATCGGCGCATGACCCCGGCGTTGTGGGCACCTAACAGCCTGCCCGGTTAGCTTTCCAAGGAAGCAGAAGATGGGAGGGGAGGCATTGACATAGGTCATAAAGCATTGGAGTTTCAAATCCCGCAGCCCCGCGGGTGCCACATTCCTGACGGCGCCTTTCTTGGCCTGTGATGTTTTATCCTTATAATGTGAATAATGGCACTGACCGGTGCTTTTATTGTAGAGTCCTGTAGTCGTGGGTGGTCTTGTGATTGTGTGTGTTCTGTCCCCATCTCGGTCCCCCCCCCCACCCCCCAGGCTGGCAGGATGGTCACCCCCATCGCCTCATTCCTGCGAGGAGTCTGTGCCCATCCTGGTCCACCATCCCAGCATGACCTGGGCAGATAAAATGCCAGTCTCGTCACCTCTGTGACCCCCTCCTTTTCAGGGTCTCTTCCCTTCCCAGAATGTTACCATCCCCTCAGTCCCTGTCCTTGTTTCCCTTTAGTTCTCTTCTACCCCTTTCCTTTTTGGGGGAGCACCTGTCCAAGACAGGGCTCATTTTTGCACTTATCTCGAATTTAAAGAGATTGCTGACGCCCGAGAGCCTCGCTTTTTCATCCTTCTTTCCCCGGTCAGCAGCCCAGACAAAAACGTGTCTTGACTGTTTGTTGTTCACAAATCTCCAGTATTTTCTCCACTTCATTTTTAAGAAAGAAGTAACAGAGACCTGTTGCTCTTTCACTTGGGTGTCTGGGCTCATGCTTACCAGCCCAGCCTCACTTTCTTTGCCCTTCCTCCTGCCTTTCTCAATTGTCCCAAGGAGGGGGGCCTCACCGTGTCTCCCGTGCATGCTCTGCAGGATTGAGGTGTGGCGTGTCCCTGTAGATCTAGCAGTTCCCAGCCGAGTGAATGGAAGAGTACTTGTGTGTTTCATAACAGCCATGATCCCTGTAATAGGTGTTTGGATATTTTTTGGCGTGCCGTGAGTGCGTGTGTACGTGTGTGTGTGCGCGTGTATATACAAATACATGTGTATATTCCTTTTAAAGAAGCTTTATCGAGCGTGTTCTGACTTGGAGGTTTAGCAGTAGCTAGCTATGGTAGGTGCCGCTACAGTTTTTATTTAGCATGGGGACTGCAGGGCGACCAGCGCACTGGACTCCGAGATGGTTCAGACAAGACAGAGGGGAGCAGTGGCCATCGTCCTTGTGCCAGGAGCTCCTTCAGTCCTGCGCATATAGACTGTACCTTATGAAGAATACACAGGAAGACTTTGTGACTGTCACTTGCTTTTTGCTTTTTCTGCGCTTCAGTAACAAGTGTTGGCAAACGAGACTTTCTCCTGGCCCCTGCCCACTGGGGACCAGCATGGTTGTCCGTCCAGTCTCAATCATCCATCTTTCTCTTGCCTGAGCGGGAAGGGCGGTGGGCCAGGCAGAGGACAGAACTGGAGGCAGTCCATCTAGGGAATGGGACTGTGAGGCCACACTTGGGGAACATGTGGACTGCTATTCCGGAGCTTTTATTTTTGGTGTGTTCGTTGCACAGCTGTTTGAAATGTTTAATAAAGCTTTATAAACTTTACTTTGTGGTTTCATGTGGCTGCAGTCCATTTGGGTCGTGGTGTTGGATTTCTGCGTTGGTGGGGGGCAGGGGGTAGCTTGGAGGGGCTGAGTCTTTGGCGCCAGAGTACCTTAGCCCGAAAATTTGATCTGCTCTCTAGAGAGCAGATGGTGGGGTTGGGGGAAGGGAGGAGGGGGCAGGCCAGGCAGTGAACAGGAGGGAGTCTGAAAGTTTTTAGAGATGAGACATTCGTGTTTCTCAGCTCCCATGGCCTCTCGCCTGAAACTGTTTCCCTCCATAGGAGATTTGAGTAACCGATCCCTTGACAAACAACTTAGGACAGCTGGAGCTCTAATCATCAAGGATTTTTGTGGTGCTGCTTTTGAAGTAAAAATAAAGTGAAACTCCTATGGCATTTCAAGTGGAAAAATAAATAAGGCTGGCCTCCAACCAGGGAGCTTAAGGTGATGGTTAGAAGTGCAAGAGTGTGGCAGGTCCCTGTTGTTGATGGGCACATGCTCCTGTGGCTGTGACCTTTGAGACAAAGCGGGTGGCTTGCCAGGGACCTGGGCTGGGTGTCCACCTCTCAGTCTCTTTTCCTTCTAGAAAACCTAACTGGAGCACTGCTGTCCAAAGCACAGTGCTGTGTAAGGGTTTCTGGAGGTAACCGTTGCAAAAGGGCTTTGGTAATTTCAGAGGAGGTCACATGTCTTTTCTAGACTTTTAATTTATTGCTGTAAAGTTTTGTGTTATTTTCTCTTGCCCCTTTTAAAATCTCAACATTGTCAGTTTGTCTCTTTTTTCATTCCTAGCATTGCTTGTCCATGCTTTCTCTTTTCTTGACCAAAACTTGCCAAAGATTTATCCATTTTAAAGGTACTTTCAAAGAACTGAACTTGTATTGATTATATCTGCTGAGTATTTTCTGCCTGATCCTTTTGTGCCTTTACCTCTGAATTCTTCTTTTCTGGGTTTCTGGATTTATTTCATGGTTCAGCAAAGTCTTGACAAGAAGAAGAGTACTGCATGTGGGAAGGAGGGTTTATTCAGCAAACACAGCCCCTGTATGAGGCTTGCTGGGGATTTCAGGGGCAAGACCCAGGCCTGACCCTCCAGGAGTGCATGATTCTAGCCTAGTGGGGAAGACTTAAGAAAATAGACAATTGCAAATTCCAAAAACAAAACAAGCAAACAAAAAAAGGCTTTTGTGGCCCCACTCTCCCGTGGAGGCACCTGGATGATAAATGAAGCCAAGATTGTTGTTTATTTTGCTCTCCCTCAGAAAGCAGCTTTCTGTCGTAGGTCAGGCCTGCTTAAGAGTTACAGACAGGCCTCCCTCTGAAAGATGTGTGGCCCTTGCCGGCAGGGAGCCAGCAGCACCCTCTCCCCCACCCCCAAGGTGACTGCCAAATCAGCATTCCATCTGCCGTATGTGCTGCTTTCCACCTTGGCGTGCACCCTGCCTCCTCTTCCTGAAATGCCTTTCAGGAAAATGAAAAGTAGATACCTCTTCTGGAAAAGAGCAGGGGCACCGGGCCTTAAGAAATCATGCTCTGCCATCCCTCTGGTTGCTCTGGCTCCCGGTATGAGACGGGTGCTCACGAGGTACCTGCTAACCACGGGACCCCATGAGGCCTTGGGCTGGGCTTCTGTCAGAACTGGTCTGTACCCTGCTCTGGACCTTGGTTTCCTTATAGGTAAAATGTGGTCTTGGGAGCAAACAGTTCCTAGCCCTAAATACTGGGAATCCTTCTTCCTAGGATCTTAAGGTACTCCTGGATACACTTGAGAAAGATGACTGAGCTCCGGGAAGGGGGCAGTGCCCTTGCAGGACAGCCTGTGTATGCTTTTTCCTTTAGTCAGCATACCATGTGAACCCAGATACGCCTCTGTCAGGAAGCCTTCCTGAACTTTGTCCCTTCCTCTTCAAAGCAACTGGGTTCTCCCACCCCTCAGGGGGACCTGCACTGTTAGTCAGAATCCGTGTAGGACTAGGCCTGAGGCCACACGGGGTGAATATCCCTGCCTTCAGGGAGTCATCTAGGCTGATGGGAAAGGGCATGACATGGGGCCGATAATCCCACCGAGACGTATAAAACTATGAATTGTGGCAGATGCTGTAATAGGAGTCTAAAAGGGGAACTGATGCAGGCCGGAGGGAACTGATGTTCAGGCTGAGACCTGAGGACAAATTTGAAGGTTTGAACAGTGAAATAATGCATGAGATGCTTTTTCTCAGCATCTCATCAAGCAATCTCTGTTCTTGCAGATACAGAAATGGGACTGAAAGTAAAATGAAGGGCCACCAGTATGTGGCTGTCCTAGAATCAGAGCTCAGATGGCTTTTGGCAACAGAGGTTAGGCTGTCCAAGCTTCAAAGACTATACTGGGAGATACTGAGGGACCTAAGGCTGACCTGCTGCTGGCGGGCCCCCAAACAGTCCTGAGAACTCTTCAGCTTCCAGCTGACTAGAACCATCACAGATGAGGATCCGGCGGGAATAGGGGATAACCCAATCCAATCTGGATTCTTTTAGCAAGGGACAGGACAGCTAGCATTCGAGCAGTGAAAGAGACAGGGCTGTCCAGAAGGCCATAGCCCTGTCCAGCTCCTTGGGAACAGGGAGAAAGAGATCTCAGGTGTGCTGGTGGGTTGGGGAGGTGAGGGCAGGAACTAGGGAGGGAGGAGGATGGAGAAAAGTGATAGAAGGAAAGCTGCCTCCCATTGAACCGCTGCAGGAAAGGAAGCCAGAGAAGGGTTGTCACCTGTGTCCAATCCCCCACATCCAGTGCAAAACTTGCCCCTCACCCCCAACCCATCCCATGATGGGTAAAAGGGTCACACTCTGGAAAAGGGAAGAACTAAGAAGTGCTCTCCTCAGCAAGTGGTGGAAAGTGATCCTGACTCCAGAGGGGCTGGTCCAGCCTCCGCCCAGCACACTGCCTCCCCACTGTCTTCCCAAAAGTCAGAAGAGGGGCAGTTTGGTCTGCCAAGCTTCAGACAGAGAAGGCCGTATCTTGAGAAAAACTTTGATTATAGAGTGGGCTTGGAGAAGGGAGAAACCTGGCCAAGCAACAGCTGAAGGCTTCACATGGAAGCTCTTGGTCTCCTTTGGGATACTGGGACTCAAACGGTGGGAGTAGACTTGGGGAACGGCGTAGGACCAACAAACCTTGAGAGGTGAGGCTTTGGGGAGCCCCAGGTCCTATGCCCCCACCTTTGTGATCATACCTCCCGGAGCCTGTTTCCTCACCTGTAGAATGCACATCATAACATCTACTGTAGCCTGACTCAAGAGGTAGTCTTCACAAATATTCCCTCTCTTCTGGCCTCTACCTCCCATCCTTACTGGGCTCAAGCCTCTTAAGGATGTGATCTGATCATCCAGCTCTCCTGCTCAGTCGTTCATGCCAGGAGCACTGGCCAGGCCCTGTGCCAAGCTCCGAGAAGCTGATGCAGAGCAAGACCACACTGTCCTTGAGCTCAACTCAGCGGGAGGGCGGCACCCCTGCAGATCACTGCAGGGCCATGTCTGGCCTCTCACCTCATTTCCTGGGCAGCTGGGAGTCTACACTTGGAGTCTACACCACTTCTTCCAGAGCTAAACCCTCAGCCAGTTCCCTGCCCCACACTGGTGGTTGCAGCTCTCTAAGGGACCCCGATCCCCACCCATCTCATTTCCCAGGTGACTTTGCTGTCCTCCGTTCACTCTTTCTCAAGCCATGCGTATGCCAAGGAGGGGACAGGACTAGAAGTCTTGAACATTTCCAAAGCCATCAGTGAACTTCACCCTTGTTATTTCAGTACCCTTGTTACTTCTTAGAGATACAGAGTGAAAGAAAGTGTGTTACAATAAGCAAGTGTTTAATTAAAGGACTTTCTGCATTAAAGAATAAACCTCAAATCTGTTGGGTGCAGAGTCTTAGAATCAGGGCACACTCGGGAAGGTCTCTGAGGGAGGAAGACAGACCAAGCCACTCAGTGGCTCCCTGTTGCCTGTGCTCCCAACTCCTCAGCTTGGCCACCAATGCCCTGTATCACTCTTGAGGGTGGGTGTTGGGCTTTGTCCCTTGACCAGGCACAGGCCTAACCAGACCTGGCAGGGAGCCTGCTGATTCGCTGGCTAGAGGGGTGGCTGGAGGGATGACCCCAATCAGTCAACCTCTTGGACTTTCTAAGGATTTAGGTGGCCCAGTCCTTCTACAAGTTAAGAAAATTCAGTTTGCCTCCCGGTCTCTTCTCAGCAACTCTGAAGTGACAATATTTTCCAGCCTCCAAACTAATATTTCACACACAGATGTCACAGAGACTACTATTTCTCAGATATGCAAGAAGAACTTGTAAATGGTTCCACAGCCTGGCATCCTCCTTCTGGGAACAGGTGACTATGAGTCACCTGTCTTCCCTGAGCCTCAGTTTCCCCATTTGTAAAATGAGGCGTTTTGATAACCTCAAGTTCCTTTCCAGCTCTAGCATCACCCTCAGATGCCCTGGTGCCTAGGGCATCATTAGACGGGACGTGGTGACTCTGGGATCTGGGTCAAGTCCATGTCTTGGAGCATGGAAGAATCATGGTGATGGCTGCAACCCCCAGAAGATGAGCTTGGCAGAACGGGCTAGGAGATTGCTCCACCGCTGGTGACGTGCCCTGGCAGAGTCTGTGCAGGTAAGTTGATGCAGGTGAGGGGCAGGGTTGGGCTGTCCGTTCTCTTGTGATCCCTAAGTAATGGTTGTCTGCAGGATCAGAAGCCTTCAGGACTGGTGGGTGCCAGCGAGATTCAGCCATTCATACTGGCAAAGCAGGTGAACCATCGTTTCACACACTGTCCTGCCGGGGCTTCCAGAAAGTTTTCTGCTCCCATTCCTTGAAGTCCTCTCTGTATTTCATTGTCTATGCCTGGAATTATACCTTCCCATAGCCTTCCAGCTCCCCATCCAGGTGGCATGTTCTGTGAGAAGACTGTGGCTCTGATACCGTAACCAGCCAGGAATGGCTTAGCTCAGAGGCAGAACCATGAGAGAAAGACTTGTCCAAAATTGGGGCTCTATTGAAAGAAAAATATTAATCCATTTCCAGTGTCACCTAAGAGCACACACCCAAGTTCAAATTCCATTTTAAAAGGTCAGAAAGGAGATACAAGCCCATTAAAAAATCAAGGAAGAAAGAAATTGGATAATTAACGAGTGTCTGAATGGGGAACCCCAAAAGCAACAAAATGACATCAAGGAGGCAAAGACCAACCAATCACTACATCAAAACCAAATATTTCCAGAATCGAACAATATCACAAAGAGAACCAGAAAGCAACGGGTAAACGACCTACAGATCCCTAATGGGTAAAAGAACACAAGCAAAACCTTACTGGTAAAAATGCAACAGGAAAGTATATAACTCACCTAAACTGACTTTACAGAAGAAGAAATAGAAGAACTGACAAAATTTTTTGAAAAAATATTCAATCCACTAATAACTGAAGATCAACAATAAAAAACATAAGGAGGGGCACCTGAGTGGCTTGGTTGGTTAAGCCTCCAACTCTTGGTTTTAGCTTAGGTTATGATCTCAGGGTCATGGAGTTGATCCCTGCATCAAGCTCTGCTGGGCACAGAGCTGGCCTAAGATTCTCTCTCTCTCTCCTCCTCCCTTGCTCATGTCCTCCCTCTCTCTCTCTCAAAAGAATAACGATAATAAGGAAATATGAGTTTCCCCCCAGCAAATCAAGGAGGAAGGTTTAAGAACACCCGGTGCTGACGAGAACACAGTAGAACACGTAGAACACAGTAGAACACAGTAGCACTATTTTTCAGTGCTAAGGGGACTGTGAATTGGTGTAACCTATTTGAAAAGTAGTACAATAGTCAAAGAGAAGGAGAGAGGTGAACATTTCAAGAAAGGGCAAGTAGCCTATGTATTTATACAACATGTATTGTCTTCTTTGTCTTCTATTGTCTTCAGGCATGGTGCTAGGTGTTAAAATATGAAGATAAATAAGATATGGCATATCTTGGGCATATGGTCAAAGAGTTAAGACACACAGATACTAAAATGATGTGTAGTAAGAAGGCCAGAGATGTGCTTGAGACGTGGGCAAAGCAGGGAGCAGCTGGGATGGGTGGTACATATGTGAGGCTTTCTGGGAGGATCTTGGGGGGTTCCTAGAAGAGCCGCCCAGATGAACAGGAGTTAGTCAGAGGGCAGAGCAGAAGTAAGCATCATGGACGAGCTCATGGACAGTTCAGGGTCACCAGAGCATGAGAGTAAGGAACAGGGGATGGAGAAGGTGGGACCAGATCGCACAGTGCCATGTCTGTCTAACTGAAGACTTGGTTCTTTTTCCTCTTGACAAGAGTGGGCCTCTGAAGCATTTTGAGCAGGCGGGTGCCATGGTCAGATTTCTGTTTTAGGGTCGTTACTCTGATTGCTTGGAGACATTTGGAGGGGCAAAGGCTAATGAGGGGATGATTGCCTTGGTCCAAGTCGAGAGGGGAAGGCCTGAATTAGGGCTAGGCCAAGAGGATGGAGAGAAGGTAGAATTAGAGAAACCTGCTGACTGACTGGTGGCTGAGTTAAAGAAGGAGAGTCAAGGATGCCTTCCCTGTTTCTGTCTTGAATGACTGCATGGATGGGAGAATACCCCAGAGAAAGGACAGACTTAGGGGCTGGAGGAGGGCTGTCGAGCTCAGTTTTGGACAGGTTGAGTGAAAGGTGGGCGTCCCGGTGGAGGTGGCCTACAAGGGGCTAGGTGGAAGGTTTGGATCCAGCAGATTTAACAGAAGATTTGGTTTATAACTGATTGTGACTGTAGCCGTGGGCTTTGGTGAGCTGGGCCTTGGAGAAATGGCAGCTAAGAAGAGAAAGGGATCTAGGCGGAGAACCTATCCCCCATGTAAGGGGTGGGCAGAGAGAAAGATGAGCCCACGAAGGCAAGAAGTCAGAAAGAGGTGGAAGAAGCACCTGAAGCCTGTGTTGGCAAGCCAACTCAGGGATGCGGAGTATTTCCAGGAGGGAACACTCAACAGAAAACAGAGAAAAGCCAGTTAGATAAAGACTGAGAGCCCACTGCATGGAATGACTGCGGGCTCCTAAATCCTCACAGGGACAGTTTCCTGTGAGAAACGGGGCAGAAGCCCCGCAAGGGGAGCGGAATAAAATGAAAGAGGAAGGAAAAGCCGACTGCATGGCCCCCTGTCCAGAGAAGTTTGGGATACTGGGAAGAAGTGCTCGAGTTACGATTTGGGTTAAGGAGAATCTCAGAGCTGGGCCGAGAGGAAATAAGGATAGATAAGACAGAAGAGAGGTCGAAAGGGCTGTCGCCTAATGAGCTTCTGTCTGTAGAAATCAGAGGTGAGATCTAAGGACAAGGTCAGTTGGGAAGAAAAAGGTCCACTGATGACCTTGACTAGAGCTGCTGTCAAGTAGGAGGATATATATGCCAGCTGGGAGCCCACAGAGGAAGTGTGGGCATGTCCTGGGGGGGACAGATGGAGAACTCGGGATGAGGTGGAAGGAGAAGGTGCAGAGTTCACAGGGCAGGGCCAGACACTGAGCCATGACTGACACTTTAGGAATGGATGCAGGCAGAGGACCTGCCAAGGAGACTGAGCAGGAGGGGCTAAAGGAGAAGACCAGAAAAGTAGTGGTCCCAGAAGCCCAGGGAGCTGAGAGTTCCCACAGGTCAGGGTGGCTACTGGTGGACCAGATGCACAGAGGTCAGGGGAGATGAGGGCATCCCCCAGACCTGGTCTTGGGCACCTTTGCCGCAGCAACTTTGGGGGAGGGACCAGGAGCCCGCCAGCTGGGGGATGATCTGGAGTCTGGCTGAGAAAGCGAGAGGAAGGAGGGGAACCGGGGGGTGGGGGTGGGGGTGGGCAGCAGGGCTCAGGAAGGTGCTGTGTCTTACCCGCTGTCATTTGGACAGAAGAGGGCTATGGGAGCCGAGTTTGAAGGGCAGCAAAGAGTTTGAAGGGCATGCAAGGGGCGCCAGAGCAGCGGGATTAAGTGTAGATGGGAAGGGATTAGCCGTGTTGGTGGAAAGCGGCAAAATTAAATCATGTACATTTTACGAGGTAAGCTGATCTCCATGTTCTTCTGGAGGCTTTTGCTCTGCTCTCTGGGTAACGACTACAGCTCTAAGTAGCAGTGGTTTCATCCTGCCTGTGTCTGGGGCCATGTCTTCCTCGGTTTTTGTACCTTTCGGCACCTAGCAACAGGCAGCGAGCTAGGTAGAGGCAGAATCATTATTTTCCGCTTGAAATCAAACGTCTGAAATTGAGGTTCAGAATTCTGTTTCATCACAGAGATTTTGTGACAATTCCCAGGGAATCCATGAACAAGGAAATACAGTTCAAGGTTGAGGCTGTCATGGATGTGAGACTGTCCGTGTCCCAGTAAATGCAAGCTGTATTCCTCTGTGGGAACAGCTCTTTACAGTTTACATGGTGGATCATTACATTTGTCTCCTTTGGTCATCGCCACCCTATCCTCCCACCTCTGGTGAGGCACACAGCTACCATTAGCCCCATGTCACTTAGGAAATTGAGACCAAGAGAGGCAGGCTGGAAGGAGAGAGTGATGGGCAGTGAAGTGAATGGAGACTGGGCACAATCCTGAATGCTACATGCACAGCCCACCAGCACGCAGTGGTTGTATCTCCTAGACATGGAGTCATTCTCTTTCCTTCATATTTGAACGGGAGTCAAAAATCAAACAGAGCTCTGGTCTAACCAGCTGAGCTCTGGCCTAGTACCACCGCTGACAACACCTGGCTTTTGTGTATAGGAGCAGACCAGGTCCCACCATAGCCATATAAACTAGAGAACAGGACATTTCCCTACATGTAACAAGGGGAATGAGGAGGAATGAGGGACGCCAGAAAGCCCAAACCCCGAGACATCCATTACATGAAGTAACCAGCCCAGAGACAGAGAGAGAGAGATCTGATAGAAAGCCATGGTCCAGAGGAGAGACAGAGGGGCCTGAACTGGACCAGTGAAGACAGACAGAAATAGATCAGAAACTTGTAGTAGCTAAAACCCAGAAATAATTGGTGTAGGATTCACTCTCAGATAAGAGACGGCAAAGATGAGGGTGACTCCCGTGTGTCTGGGTGGGCCCTGGGTAGGTGGGGGGAAGGCCCCTGTGTATGAGGAACACAGCATGGAGAGCCAGTGTGAGGGGCAGGACAGTGGACTCAGATACAGCCAAGGGGTCAGGGTCACAGCCAAGTGGAGCCCAGCAGGCACTTGGATCCGGGGTCTGGAGCTCAGGAAGAGATTGGACTGGAAGTACTGGCCCAGGCACATGGCTACTCAGAGAGTAATGGGAAGCCCGAGAATGAGGGAGATCATCAGAGACAGAATGGGACAGGGCCCAGGGCAGAATCATGAGGTACAGTGACCTGTGAGGAATCAGTCAAGGTGTGAGCAGGTGACAAAGGAAAAGAGAAGGAAGAACCTCAGAGATGTGGACAAACAACTACGAGGGGGGTTGCCGGGGCAACCAAGGTAGCGAGGCATTCCAGGGAGGAAGTAATCAATATTGTCAAACACAGCAGAGAATTCCAAAAAAGACGGACTTTTTTTTTCCTTTGATCTCATTATTAGTAAGTTTTTGTTGACCTTAATAAAAGCATTTTGGGGGAGTAATAGGGCATAAACTGAACTAACGTTCAGATGTGAGGGGGAGGTGATTCTGTCACTAAGAGCCCTTTGAGGAGTCTGGAAGGGAGACTTGGAGAGGTGAAGGATTAGGGGCAGAGAGTTTGAGCGTGGGAAAGATATGAGCAAGTTTATAGGCAGACATCAGCTCCCAGATGCAACAAGCATTGTTGAGTGACACAATTTTTTCATTCTACATGTTCTAATTTAATGCCTATCATGTGCCTGGCAGAGTGCCTAGCAGCGTGGATATTTGGTAAATGAATTAGAATCCCTGTTCCCATGGAAGTTGTGTGGTAGGAGAGGAAAAAGACAGGAATGAAATAATGGGCACACACCGATATGCAACATGAATGGGCACTCTGAAGGAGAGGAACTAAGTGCTGGAGGGTGTCCAACAAGGGGACCTGTCCTAGGCTGACTCCAGGAGCCTTCCCTGTGGCGGCGACACTCGAACCAAGTTGTTCAGAAGGGAAAGGAGTTAAGTGGACAGAGTAAACTAGGGAAAAGCGTTCTGGGCAGAGGGAACAGCCTGTGCAAAAGGAGAAGAGGTGAGACCAGAAAGCCAGGCGGTGCTGGTTGAGCAGGCTTTCGGAAGCCAGGACCGAGACCTGCTCTGGTATGTCACTGTCATCTGAGACTGGCTATGCTATGGAGAAATCAGAAGGAGCACAAGGAGACTTCGGGAGACCAGTTAAGAAGTGTTTGGGTCATGGTAGACAGAATTTAGACAGTCAACATAATCTGGTTAGTCTTGGTGCTGATGGAATGAAGTAGGGCAGGGAGAGGAGGAGGAATTCAGAATGACCCCTGCATTTCTGGCTTGCCATACAGATGAGGTGGGAGTGCCGTTCTCAGAATTGGAAAGTCCTAAAAAGGGACAGGGTCTGTGAGGCCGACCCCAACTCTGGTAGTACACAGCTAAGACATCCAAGTGGAGATGGGAAGGAAGTGGCTGAATACATATATCCAGAGCATAGAGTGAGAAATTACAGAGATGGGCTCAGAGCTCCTGAGGGATCCCAAATGTGAATTAAAGCAGTGTCAGGTTTCTGGAACATTCTGAGGCTATGAAAGGTGGCTGAGGAAGAAGAGGCCTGAAATGGTGCCCAAGAAGCACCAACACTTGGGAGCTGTAAAAGGAAAGAAGAATCCTCCTAGGGCACTGAAGAGAAAGGACCAGGGAGGCCTTTCAAACCAGAAGGATGACGTGGTCAGCAGAGAGGTCAGGTGGGGGGGGTGTGGCTGATCTGTGGGCCCCTCTCATGTCCAACTGCCCAGTTGCCACGGTGGCCCTGATGATCAGCACCCACCAGGGCCCATGCTCTGAGACCTTTTGGGGACTTTGACCAAGACTCTTAAGGAAGAGGGAACAAATTCTAAGGCCTTTTCATTTTAATCTTAAAGGAGAGCAATGCTGGTGTATGAATATTCTGAGTGAAGCAAGCCTGAGTGATGAAGCAATTAAGGGCAGAGACAATTAGTGTGAAATGAGCTCCCGAAGGGGCCGGGATCAAGTCCAGTGGTGGATAAATTCATTGGGGGCCGTAATGTGTATTAGACCAAATGGGGCAAAATGAAATTATTTACCTTTTAGAGAGTGACTTGATCTCCATGTTCTTTTGGGAGCTTTAATCTGACCTGTGTACTGACTATAGTGCTAATTAAGTCAGTTTTATCCTGTCTTGTGGCTGGGATTGTGTCTTCGTTTTCTTGTTTCTCAGCACCTAACGACAGGCAATAAGCAATTTGGGTGCCAAATCGGTATTTTCTGCTTTGGGATCAAATATCTGAAGTCAACACTCAAACTCTCTGACCAAAGAGAATATGTGACAATTCTTCAGAAGTTACAATGCAGGAAAGAACTGGGGCATGAAGTCATGAGGTTTGGGTGAGTGGAGGGAAGAAGGCAGGGGTTTGGGTGAGTGGAGGGAAAGCGGAGGTACCAGCTCCCCTCATCCTTTTAAGCTCTGTGCCATTTGTGTATATTCGCATTCCTCATCCCAACTGAACCTCACATCCCCCCACAAGATAAAGCATGACCCAATTTCAGAGAGGAGGAAACAGACGCCAGAGGAGGAAGTGCCTTACTGACACAGAGCACAAGTGGCGGGAGCTAGATTCAGAACTCAGTGCAGCTAGTGTAACAGTCCTTCCCACGACCAGGCTGAGCCAGAGAGAAAGAGGGAGAGAGGGGGTCCAGGAGCCAGAGGTAGAGATGCTCTGCGGGCACGTGCAGAGGGGTGGACGCACAGTCCAACTCCAGACCTACCGGATATTAAAGCATCAAATCCAACCGCAGTGATGAAATCTACAGTGTGAGAACAAGAGCGAGGAGCGTTCTTGTTTAAACTTCCCCACCGCATGAATGATATGTACATTCTCTATTTGCATCTCAAGCTTCCGTATTCTTAAAAACTTAAGTCTTTAATCCATCTGAAATGTATTTTTGCGTATGGTGTGACACAGAGATCTGATCTGATCTTTTTCCAGATGGATAACCAGCTTGCTAAGCACCATTTATTGTCCCAACACCATCTTTTCTCCCAGTTCCCTATGTCTAGACTCTATTCAGATCTGTTGATCTGTTCGTCTACTTCTGGGCCAATACCAGACTTGAATGAGCAGAGCTTTCTCTTACTGCCTGATGAGGTGAGTACCCCTCCCTCCCTGGCCTTTTGTTCTTTTTTAAAAATTACCTCTGTCATATTGTACATTTACTTTTTCATATACCTTTTAGAATCAGCTTATCAAAGTTCCATGAAAAATATCTTATTGGAATTTTGAGTGGGATTGCACTGAAGGGAAAAAGGAACACCTCTAGGTTACCAGTTCTCATCTGTGAACATGGCATTTGTCTCCATTTAATCAAGGCCTTATCTCTTGGGTTTGATTTTTAATGCCTTTTAAATAAAGTTCAGTCACTTTTGCCATAAAGGTTTTTCAAATTTTTTAACAGGTTTATTCCTGAGTACCTTATCAATTTTGTTGCTTCTGCAAGTGGAAAAAGTTTTCCTTTTTCTCCTTTGGCTTTCCAAATTTTAGTCAATTTTCTAATCACTATGCTTCATTCACAGACACACTCAGAGTAAATGTGCTTTATCCCTGGGCACATAAATGAGAACACAGCACACATGTAAAACAGAGCTCATTGGCTAGAAACAAATTAGAATTTTTGAATTAAATTCGAATTATGTAAGAAATACATGAATACATGTTCCTTTAAATAAAATTAGAGTGTACAGATAAAGTCTCTGCTGGACTCCCCTCCCCCATCTCTTCCTCAGGCCCCTCCCCTCCTCTAGAGGTAGGTGCTGCTCTTAGGCTTTTTGCTGTTTATTTAAAATGTTTTCTGATGCTCATTGAAACACATCTTCTGTTCTCTTTCCGTGTGCGTTTGTTTGCACAGACATGGTGTGTACACACTGGAGGTATAGCTTGTTGAAGCTGGCGACTGGAGGCCATAACCGATTACACCACGTGTGAGTTCCTTGTTGCCTATTAATTGACTGCTAGAATGTTTCCAGTGCCATTCCATTAAGACAAATCTCCCAGCGCATCCTTGTACATTGCCCGTTTTGTGCATGTACAGGTGTTTCTCTGGGACAGATACTTAAAAATGAAATTGATGGGTCATAGAGTATATACATCTTAACTTCTAATAGAGCAGAGTGTCTTACTAATGTAATCTCCTGCCAGCAGCACAGGAGCCTCCATTTCCCCAGACCATTTCCAAGTTTTACATTTTTAACCAGTCTGATGAGTGAAAAATAGTATTTTGTTTTAGTCCGAATCTTTGTGAACTACATACAAGGCTGAAGTCTTCATGTGTTTACTGTCCATTTATATTTCCTCCTCTGGATTGCTTGTCTATATCCTTTGCCTATTTTTTTTAAGTTGGCTTTTTTTTTGTCTTTTTGCTATTGATTTTTCAGAGTTCTTTATGTACTTTGAATACTAATACTTTGTTGTGTATATTGCAAATGTTTTCTACATTGTGATTCTTGTCGTTTAATTATATGGTATCTTTTGTCCTAGAAAAATTTTAAATTTGATACAATCAAATTTATCAATCTTTTATGTCTTTTTTACACCTTATTTATGAAAACCTTTGCTATTTGAAGGTCATAAGCCTTTTCTATATTTTCTTCTCTAAAATTTATAGTTTACATATACATATATATTTAAGCCTTTATGCTATATACAAGAAATAAATTCCATGTGCATGAATCTTAGACTCTGACTTTAAACCCCCCATCCCCAAATAGATAGGTAATTGTCCCAACACCATTTATGTAATAATATATCATTTCTCCGCTGATTTAAAATTGCTACCTTCACCAGACTCTAAATTCCAGTGCGGGTCTATGTCAGAGCTCTTGCTGGTCCACTGATCTATTTGTCTACTCCCGAGCTTGATAATATGCTTTGCCAAGTGGCGGGACAAATCCCACTCTCTTTGTTGTTTTTGCAAAATTGCCTTCGTCATCCTTGCATATTGGTCCTGCCACATGAATTTTAAAACCAGCCTGCCAAATTTCAGGAAAAATTGAATTGGGATTACTTGGAGTTTCTGGATAAGTTAGAAGAAAATTGGCATCTGTGGCACACTGGGTCTTCCTCCCAGCACACGAGGCCTGCACGCACCTCTCTCGGCTCTGGTCATCTCTTACGTCTTCCGGGGAAGTTTTACATTTTCCTCCAGCCAAAGTCTCGCATCGTTCTTGATAGATTGATTCCTGGATTTCGTTTAGGTTTGGTGGTCCCCTGAGAATGGGATCGCCTCTTCCTTTATTTAGCACCCGTTTCTCCTTATTCCAATTCAACCTGTCTCCTAATCACTGTGCTTGGTTTGCAGACGCACACACGAAGTAATCGTTCTTCCTCCCTGGGCACAAGCATGTGAGCAGAGCCAAACACAGGGCTGGCGTAACAGGCGGCAAACAAATGAGAATCTTTTCAAATTATACTTTAATTAAACACACAAAGCATGAATACATTCTCCTTTTTAAAAGTAGAATATGAATACAGCCAAAGTTTTCCTTGGCCACCCTCCGAAACCCTAGTTTCCTACCCCCTCCACAACTTTATGCATCTCCTTTCATAGAAATATATAGTACTCATGTAGATAGTTTGAATGAATCATCTCACTTTATAAGGATTTTACTGGAAGCTGCATTTTCTTGCTCAATCGTATATTTTTAGGATATACTCAAACTGATGTAAATGGCTCTTGCCAGTTCCTTTTAATAGCTGTATTGTACTCATTCCTCTGTTGATACCACATTCTCTCTCCTCTAAGATCCAGGCACAAATGCGGTGGCCTCCTTTTCTTTCCTCCATCATAAGAAGCGCTGCAGAAAACAGCCTTGCACATGCTGGCTCTGTAATTTTTCTCTAGGATTGAGAATGGACTTTGGGGTCTCAAGGTGTCCACATTTGTAGTTTTAACAGACACTACCGATGTGTCCTCCTTAATTTCTGTACCATTTCAACTTGCAGTAAGAGGATAGGAGAGGACTCAAATCCCCACACCATAAGCAGCTGTTTTAAATATTTGCCAATCTGATGGGCAAAAAATGGAAGCATTTTTTTTTTTAATATTTCTGTATACCTGTTTGCAAGTGAGATTTTCCTGGGCACTTGCTGTTTGTATTTCCCTTTTCTGAATTATCTGTTTGTTTTTGCTCATTAAAAAAATTAGATGGTTTGTCTTTATCTTATTGATTTGTGGAATTTCCTAATCTAATCTGGATAGTGATCTCTTGTATATACACAGCAAATATTTTCTTCCAGCTCCTCTGTGGCCTTTAACTCTTTGTAGGCTCCTTTAGACAGAAGTTATTAATTTTGACCTAATCAAATGTGTCAGTCTTTTCCTTTATTCCTTTTACATATATATCACACTTGTGCCTTTCTCACTCCTACATTTAAATATATTGTGTATTCTTTCCTTTTTTAAAAAATTTATTTATTTATTTATTTATTTGACAGAGAGAGAGATCACAAGTAGGCAGAGAGGCAGGCAGAGAGAGAGGGGGAAGCAGGCTCCCTGCTGAGCAGAGAACCCGATGCGGGGCTCGATCCCAGGACTCTGGGATCATGACCTGAGCTGAAGGCAGAGGCTTTAACCCACTGAGTCACCCAGGTGCCCCATGTATTCTTTTCTAATAAATTTGCCTTTATGTGGGTCTTTCATGCATCTGCAATACAGTTTTATGGTTGAAATGAGGTATGATCTAACCTCTCCCCAATGTACAACTGACTGTTGCCACGCAGGTGACTGACCAGTCACCCTTTCTCCGATGATCGAAGTAAAGCTTCCTCACTCCCCGGGTCACAGTGTCTAGGTCGGTGTGAGGCCCCTATTCTGTTCCACTGGTCTATACCTTCCTGTCCGTACCAGGCTATTTTATCTGCTAGAGCCTTATGCCAGCTTTTGATATCTTTTAAGTAAAATGCCCCATTTCCTGTGCTTCCTTTTCAATTATCTACACGAGCTATTACTGCATGTTAACTCCCCCACATGAATTTTTTAAATTGCTGTCATGTTCTGTGAATTTTGAGATTAATTTGGGGAAAATTGACATCAATACAATACTGAGCCTTTTCATCTGCGAGTACATTTATTCTGATCGCCTTGTGTTTCTTCAGTTACGTACTTTTCTCGATCAGGAAACTACCCATTTCCTAATGGGTTTATTCCTGTATTTTTATTGCTGTGAGGGAGTTCTCTCTGCACTCCCTTTTTTGGTTTACTTTGGCTTGCTACATTTTTAAAAAATCTACTTCCTAATCACTGTACTTCATTCACAGACACACACAAAGTAAACGTTCTTTCTCCCTGGACACAAACATGCGGGCACTGCCAAACGCACGAGCTAGCATAATTGGCTGAAAATGAATGGGAATTTTTTTCAAATTAAAGTTTAATGACACAAGCGGAACATGAATACATTCTCCTTTTTAAAAAATAGAACATTGCAGATGATGCCGAAGTCCCTTTTGGCCACCCACCGCCATCCCATTACCTCCCTCCTCTCCAGAGGTAACCACTCTAATGGGTTCACTGTGCACTTTGCTAGACTTTCTGGAAACTTCTAAATTCACAGATAGGTACCCACAGGAAATATATGTTAGAGTTGTCTCAAATAATGAGAATTTTGTCTTCTCCTTTCCAGTTTTCATTGATATTCAATTTTTGTCTTGACCTGGATTTTATTATGGTTACAGAATAAAATGCCAGTATTATCACCTGTCACAATGTGAAAGGAAAGATGTAGAAGTCAGGAGACAGCCCTGTGTGGGGCGGGGGCCTGACAGGGGTGGTGAGGGGAGGCAAGGGCTTCTGTGGACATGCAGTAGAACAAGGAGTGAAGGGGCAAGCAGATTTCTTAAAAATTGAAAAGATAACCAGTGGAGGTACTTCAAAACTGTGTTGGAAGAAAGCAGGGATGGAAGGGAGTATTTTCCAAGTGTCGTAAAGCCTACTCTGCCACATGGGACATCACTGACGCTCATGAACTCTAAGTAGGGGGTAGCAGATGCTGTTCAGGGAAATAGGGTCTTATAGGGAAACATCTTCAGGCAGCTTTGAGGGAGCACTTTGTTCTCTGATTAAGGTGATGCTCCTGGAGAGCATTCTTGGTCCTGCCCCTTCCTTTCTACCTAGGGGATATTAGGTGAAAATGTGGTGCATGGAGGGGCACCTGGGTGGCTCAGTCACTTAAGCATACAACTCTTGATTTCGGCTCAGGTCATGATTTCAGGGTTGTGAGACTGAGGCCCACATCAGGCTCTGTGCTGGGTGGGGAGCCTGCTTGATATTCTCTCTGTCTCCCCCTCCTCTCTCTCTCTTTCTCTTTTCCTCCCTCCTCACCCTCTCAAAAGAAGAAAAGAAAGAAAGAAGGAAAGAAAGAAAAGAAAGAAAGAAAGAAAAAAGAAAGAAAGAAAGAAAGAAAGAAAGAAAGAAAGACAGAAAGGAAGAAAGGAAGAAAGGAAGAAAGGAAGAAAGAAAGAAAGAAAGAAAGAAAGAAAGAAAGAAAGAAAGAAATTATGATGTGTGGCGCTCTGGCAGTCATCTTGTGACCAGGAGGGGAAGGCTTGGAGATGCAGGTCTCTGCTGACTCAGAGCCTGGTTACCTGGAACCACTGACTTCTGTCTGGTGTTCTCATTCTCTAAAATAAATAAATGTTCTTACTCTCTAAGCCACTTGTAGGTGTTTTGTTAGATGCTGGTGAAAGCATCCTTCCTAATACAAGAGATCTAAGAGCTCTTTAGAGATGGGGAAATGACCTCAAGGAGCAGATCACATATTCTAGGGTGGGAGTTTAGGGGTGGGGAGAAGGTAGAGAAAGCTGCTCTTCATCAAAGTCCTGCCATTCTCTTGGATTTTTTTTAAACTATGTGTCTGTATTACAGGGAAAGAAATAGAAAATGGTTGTTGTGCGGTGTTTTGTTTCGTTTTTAGCAATTCTGGTGTGTGTTAAAATGTAACCAGTGGTTCTCTCTGGTTACCTTGGGTATGAAGCAACTTTCTAAGATGTCCTCAAATTATTTCTGTAGTTTAAAAAAATGTCCAAGACCCAGGTTTTTAAGATACAGTGCATGAGAGAGGTGAATTTTGAGGCAGGGAAAGGAAGGAGTCCAGAGGTGAAATCCTAGACAAAGACCTCTTGCCTGGCTTCGAGAGGACCGCCACGGGCTCAGGGCACATGTGGCACAGGAGAGCATTGACATGTGAGGCCGGCCAGCACATGCAGGGAATCCTGCCAAGGAGTTTGAGCTTTTATCCAAAGGGTAATGAGGAACCAGGGACACGCTGAAGCAGGGAGACAGGTGTGAGCCCCTTCTCATGTCCTCCTTTCTTTTGTTTCGGGGAGGAAAGCTCAACTCAAACCTGCTCAGGCAGAGGGAGAACTCAGTTGGCTTCTATAACCAAACCATGGACCAGGCTGGGCCTCTAGGTCCCCTGGAGACAGGGACTGGGCCATCAGACCCTCCGTCTCGTCTCCAGGCTGCCCCATCACATGGCCTGCCAACCTCCTTCTCTCGGGTCTGCTGCTTCCACATGCTCTGCATGTCTCCCTTCCTTCAGGTCCTGACCAAAAAGAGACCCAGGTGGAAGTGCAGAAGTTTGGTTTGAAGGTCTCACTCGAGGGTGCCTGGCTGGCTCAGTGGGTTAAGCGTCTGCCTTCAGCCCAGATCAGGATCCCAGAGTCCTGGGATCGAGCCCCACATGGAGCTCCCCGCTCAGCGGGGAGCCTGCTTTTCCCTCTTCCTATATTCCTCCCCACATGCTCTATCTCGCTCTCTCACTCTCTCTCTCAAATGGATGAATTAAATCTTTATTAAAAAAAAAAAAAAAAAGAGGACTCACTTGAGTCAGTGCTTCTGGCTGCCCGCTCTTTTGTCCAGTTGCTCTGTCCTCAGTGCCCTTGTCTGTGGACGCCCACATTCATAATAACAGCACCCACCTTATCAGCACCAGAGCATTGGGAAGGTCGAAGAAGATGATGCCTGTGAAGGGCTTAGCCGGGGCCTGGCGTGGAATGAGTGCTCCATAAATGTTAGGAGCTGTCTCTGCTCCCAAGTTAAACAATCTGGAACAGGTTCTGATTGGCCCAGCCTAAGTTAGGGGCTCAGTCACCCCTGGCTAATCAGTGATGGCCAATAAGGTGAATCCCATTCCAAACAGAGAGGTTGGAGTGCAGAGTGACTAACCAGGAGAGAGGGTGCTGGTCTAGGGAAAGAAACCAACAGATGTATCCTGTCAATCCTTCTGGTGTCTGCAGAAAAGGGTTTGACTCGGGCCCCGTAAGCCTGGAGGGAGGGAGGATACCTAAGAGGAGGCCACCACAGTTGTCCCTGAGAAGTGTCGCAGGCCTGAGCTAAAGTGTGGCTGGAGAGCAGGTGGATTCAAGAGAGGTTGTGGAGATAGAACTAGGGAGCCTGGTGCCAAAGGAACACGAGCAGTGGGAGAGAACAAGAGGTTGAAGGGCGCCCCTGGCTGCTGATCCAGAAACTGCCACAGACAGAGCCTGGCCAGAGTATAGCTTTATTTCTCCAGGACTCGAGTTCCTTCTACCACCCCGCCCCTTTCTGATCAGCAGCAAAAACTTACTCTTAGTTCAAGGTAAATGCAATCACTTCTGGACTTGACCTAAGTCTCTCTTAAGCAAATTCTTGATCTACTTCCAGCTTTTCTGCTTCCCACTACTCCTTCCCTTCTCCCTGAGAGTGGTCTTTGTTCTGGGATCCCCTATTTTGCCCTGGTACTGGGGTGTGCATCTGATCCTGGAAGACCAGGATCTCTCCGCGGCCATCCACTGAGCCAAGACAGCCCCGCTGAGTCCTTGTTCCAACCAGAAAGCAGTCCCCCACTTCCCTGTACCCTCACCATCCTCACCTTGCTATGGGGATACACAGGACCCAGGGGGACACCCCCAGACCCATCTGTCAGGGCCTAACCCCAAAGCTCTCAACTTCTCCAGCCCAAGCTTTGGGGGACTGGGGAGGTTGGTCTTCTGGGCAACACCATAAAGAGCAAGGCAACAAGTCTTTCTACTCTTACTGCTTTGGGGAGATCTAGTATCTACCATTAGTGATGTGTCCATATGACTCTCCTCACTAGCCAGCAAAACTTTTATTTCCCTTCAGGCAGAAAGACAGCTTCCACATTCTTCCCTACTTGCTGTTCGTGACATCAATGTCAAGTTCTAAGCCCCTCAGGTTCTTTTCTCTTTACAAAAAGATAACCAAATGCCCTGTCTCTGCTGTAGGTTTCAAGAGACTATTTGAAACCCTTGACTGTCTTACCACATTCCTACTATAGCAACCCCTGTCCCCCACCAAAACTCCAACTGTAGCAAGAGAAAGTGACCATGGCCACCATCATTTCCTGCCTTCCCTATATATACACACTATTCCTCACATCAAGAGATGGAGTCCACTTTTG